ATTAATTAAACTAATTAAAATATGCGTTTGCAGTGCTTGTGTATGTTTGTTTGTTTGGGTAAAACATCGAAAATTATGTTTTATTTATAGTTAAACTTTAAAAAATGTTCTCAAATTAGTAAATGGAAGCATTCACAGATTAAATTTTAAAACTTTGATTGGAATTTTTTACGATGAGTTTTCGAATTTCTAAATAAAGTCTAAAAAATAAATTGAAAAATGAAATAATGTACGGGTTAGGAAACATGAATTTGAAAAAAATTTTTTTCATTCTCTCTTTTTTTCCTCTGTCTCTCTCTCTCTCTTTCTTTTTCCTTTCCCTCTTTCTTTCTTTGATGCTTTAATGAATACCCAAATGGAAGTAAAATGAGATATAAACTAGATAAAGGAAAATTAGACTGTTTATGTGTGACGTGTGTGTTATGTTATGTGCGTGTTTGTATGTGTAAATGTGTGTGTGTGTGTAAATGTGTGTGTGTAAGTATAAAGGGTAGAATAAAAATAAGAATAATATGTACACATGAAAATGGAAAAAAGCAATTTAACACATACACGCACAAACACACACACACACATAACCACACACACATTCACAAGCATGCATGCACCCACGCACGGCAACCGACTTTATTTTTTTGTATTTTTTGCATTACATTGTATATTTTTCGGTATTTTTTGGAAATTTGGTATATTTTGGTTTTATTCTGGAATATTGCGTTTCATATATACTTATGTCTAAATTTGTATATTTTTGTTTATGTATATCATGAGGTATTTTTCATTCTTTTGTATAATTTTTTGTATTTTAGAGGTGTTTTTTATCGTTTTGTATAATTTTTTTTGAGTTTTTCCCTCATAAACATCTCATACTATACACAGGGAGAGATGACAGCCGTATAATAACAAAGAAATCTAACAAATAATATGTACAGCTTTGTTTTGTGTGTTAATTTATGTATACTTCTTCAGTATGCTTTTTTATCATTTTTCTTAGTTTTGTATATAAATTTGTATATTTTTGTATATCTTTGTGTCAATTTTGTATGATATTGCTTGTTTGTTATATTTTAGTATAGTTTTTATTTCCTTGAATGAAAATTCATCTATGTATCAATTCACGCATAATGTTTGTATCATTTCGTATTGTTTTTGTATCAATTACATCTTTATATTCATGCGTGTGTATCATCTATATCTATCTATCTATATGTGTGTGTGTCTGTGTGTATGTCTGTGTGTGTGTTTTTGAGTGTGTATCATTTATATCTATATATATGTATAATTGTATATATATATATATATATATGTTTGTGTGTGTGTGTGTGTGTCTGTGTGTATGTCTGTGTCTGTCTGTGTGTGTGAGTGTGTATCATTTATATTTATATATGCGTGTGTATGTGTGTGCGTGTGAATGTGTTATGTAAGCGTTTATTTTTTATAATGTATGAATATGTGAGACAAAACATGAAAAATCTCGCGAAAGTCCATAATTTATGCCGTGGAAGTGAAATGTTTTATGCCAATGCGATACCTTGCTAATAAAAATTAATGAGGTCTTCTGTTTTACGCATGTGTGTGCGTGTGTGCGTGCGTGTGTGTGTGTGTGCGCGCGTGTGTGTGTGTTTTGCTAGAACCTCATTAATTTTATATTGATTGATTGATCTTCTATCAGTCATTCATTTAATTATTCGTTCATTCATTCATTCATTAATCCATTTATTGGTTTATTCATTCATTCAATCACCTGTTTAAACATTCATCTATCTATTGATTAATTCATTTTTTTCCCTTCATACTTAGCATTAACAAAGAATATACAATAACAACAAAGAAAAACAACGACAACAAAAAACCGGAAATGTTCTGGAAAAAATTAGATACAGAGCGATAATAGGCATAGCAACAATAGCAATGGCAACAGGCATGACAAAGAACAAAAAATAATATACAACGATACAATAGCGACGCGAACGGACGGTATTATGGGACAAACGCTCCTATGTATATTTACACCTGCCTAACTAGGTTACTCATACTTACTTGCACACGCACATACATTCTCACGTACTTAGGCACATACATACGCGCATACATAGGCACAAACATCAGCACGGAAATAGGCCAACCGTTACGACGTCTGTGACGTTGATGTTGACAATTTTTATGATGACGTAGATGATGACGTAGATGATGGTGACATAGATGATGGTGATAATGGCAGTAGTAGATCAGCTGATGGTGATGGCGGTGTTGTTGTTTGTGATTATGACGTGTTTGATGATGACGTAATAGCAGTTGTTGTTGTTGTTGTTGTTTTTGTTGTTGTTGTTTTTGTTGTTGTTGTTGTCGTTATCTATAACGATGAGGATGAAGATGATGATTGCCTAGATGACTTTTCCACCACGGAGGTTTTTGAAAGATGTTGATGTTGTTTAAGCTGACGTTGTTAATGATGTTATTTGTGTGTTTTTTTTATTATTCTTTAAAAAAATCAGAACCTGACAATGAAAGAAACTGTTACAGAGTGCAATGTGATGGTATAAAATGACAACGAACCTCATAGGTAATAGAGAAAGAAAAATTCTTTAAACACGAAGGCATGGAAAGTAAAATAAAGTAATGGTATAAACTGACGAGTAATTAAAATAAATTAACTAAAAGACTTAGTGAGTAAGTTTAGTGATCAATAGGAAGAAGATAAACCAAAGTGAGTAAATGATAAGGTTTTATTGAGTGTAGATAGGTTTAAGGTGCCTTCCGATGAAGGTCTTATATATATATATATATATATATATATATATATATATATATATATATAGAAATATTTACACACACACTTATTTACACGCACACACGCAAGCACACACGCACGCACAAAGATTGGAGTCGATAAAACAAATGATATGTGTAAATGACAACCGCGATATCCATCATCAACATCAACGTCACAAAATTATTTTCCATTATCTTAATTAATATATGTCTCATAATAATATTACAATATATATATTTACGGCATGTGTGTGTGCGTGTGTGTGTGCGTGTGTGCGTGTGTGTGTGTGTGTGTGTGCTGTGGAACGCGGCCGTATGGCGCAGTAATTAAGACGTTTGGTTGGACCTGGTGTTACGCAGTCTCCGGGTTCAACGTCAAGCGGTTTGAACATAACAATTCTGAATCCTTATAAGTAAGTGCGTGCCTAAGAATTTATTTGAAACAAACAAACTGACTTGAATAAAATCAAAAAAATTTTTATATATACATTCACACTTCCTGTCACTAAATTTAAACAAAGAAATTGAATAAATTTTATGCAGAATGCCAAATACAGAGCACGTATTTGAGATCTATGTACTGTTTTTTTTCAGTAGTCTTTGTTATTTTACTTTCTATGCGAAATTTATTCCGATTTCTTTGCTTCACATTTTTAGGTTGCTTGGATAATTTTTTTTTTCACTAACCAAAAAAAATAATTGTCTATGTTATTATTTTTCTAATTTGGTTATGTGACATTAGTATTTTCCTTGGGGGAAGTGTTGTAGCAGCAGTAGTAGTAGCAGTAGGAGTAGTAGTGGCAGCAGTAGTAGTAGAAGTAATACTTGTTATAAGTAAGAGTTGTTGTAGATAAAAAATTCTTCTCGTTAAAACTCAAATAACCTCATTTCTTTTGTAAATGAAGTGAAAAATTAAAAAAAAAAGAAAAACATTCTGCAAGATCAAAAAACAAATGGAGTAAAGTTTAACTGCAAAAATAGAAACAGTTTAACTTAGTTTACAAAAAAAAATGAAAGTTTAAATTGAAGAACGAGAAAGAAGTAGCTAAAGAAGAATGTATAATGTAATTAACAATCATACGACCAGCCGAAAAAGTCATCCACCTACCTGACGAATGACGCAAAAGGAAAGCGCGAAAAAGCGCGGAAAAAAACGCGGGAAAATGAAAAAACGCGGGAAAATGAAAAAACGCGGGAAAATGAAAAAACGCGGAAAAATAGAAAAAATGCGGGAAGGAAAAATATCATCATTCCCATTAACCCACAAGCCCTTATTATGTAGCGCAGTGTTTTTTATTAACCATAAATTTGACGTCCTCTATGGCTCATTAAATATTTAGAGTGTCATTTTATTCAAACATAAAAGTAATGACATTTTGAAGTTAACTCATGTTTAAATTTATTTATATGTGAGTGGGGAGTATGAAAGTTTGTGTGCGTGTGTGCGTGCGTGCGCGCGTGTGTGTTGCATGTATTAGCGTTTGTACGTGTGTGTGTGCATTTGATTTTTATGGTTTATGTCAATTAATTTTTTTAATGTAAATTATGATGTTTTTTTCCGTAAAAGCACCCAAGATGTGTTTAAATCCAACTGTTTTTTCCAGGCTTTTTGAAAAATTTAAATTTCCTTTCAAAAACTTTGAAAAATCACCGGACAAATTTAGCTAACCTTATGTTAGCACGGCACCCGACCAGCCATCAATTATTCATTTATTTTTTGGAAAAATGTTGCTACCACACTCCTATCTCTTTAGTGCGACTGAGAAAAATAATTTTCTATGACATCTACATTTAGGGGTTCAGGCAGAGTGTTAATTATCAAACAGAAGTACACATACACACATACAAATATGTACACCCACACACACACACACATACACACACACACACACACACACACACATGATACATAAACACATAAACATATATATGGTTGATGTTATTACGACGGCTGCTTAGTATTGCACAGCACATGGATCTGTAAGGGCGTTGTCAATTTATTTGGTATCAACAAACAAACGCATTTTTGGCTGTTTTGTGGTTGTTGTGGTGCGTGTTTGTGAGAGAGAGAGAGAGAAAAAAAGGAGGAAGAGAAAAAGAGAGAGAGAGAGGGAAAGAGAAAGAAAGAAAGAAAGAAAGAGAGAAAGAAAAAAAAGAGAAAATGAGAGAGAGAGAAAGAAAAAGAGAGAGAGAGAGAAAGATGATGACGACAAACAGGAAAGACAAACCTTGAAAAATATTATCAAACAGGTTGAACGGCACGACGAACGAGCTGACCATCATGTCCGCCATTGCTAAGTTTCCCAAAAATATATTCGTTGAGCTTCTCATCGGCGGAAAACAGCAAATCACCATGACGATCATCGCGTTGCTAAGCAAGCCGACGGCTATGACAAGAGCGTAAACGCAGACGAAGATGACGATGGTATGCGTGGGCTGTTTGAAAACTGGCCAGGGCTTTTTGGTGGAGTTATTTGGGGTCTTGTAGTTTACCCCGTCGGAGAGTGATGGCGATGTGGTCTGTGAAGGTTCGAAGTTGTAGCTGGTGTAGTCGCTGTCATTGCTGTTGGTGTAATAGATGTCGCTAAGGTCATTGCTGTTTTGGTGGTAGTGGTATTGATAGTCGTTCTGGTAGGTTTCGTTGAAGTTGTTGTTGCTGTTGTTGACGACATTCTCTTTGCTGACGTGTTTGTAATGAGGAGAATATTTGAAAATAATGTTGTTGTTGTTGTTGTTGTTGTTTGTGGGGTTGTTTTCGTTGTTGTTGTTGATGTTGTTGTTATTGCTGATGATGAAGTTGTTGCTGTTGTTGCCGGTATGATAAAAGTAAAGTGTCGTTGTTAGCGCTGAGAAGATTGTTGAACTAACCAGACTATTCATAGTGGTGATGACGATGCTATTGCTGTCGATAATGATGTTGATGATGGTGATGACGATGTGATGATGGTGATGATGATGGTGATGATGGTGGTGATGATGGTGATGATGATGATGATGATGATGGTGATGATGATGGTGGTGATGGTGGTGATGGTGGTGATGATGGTGGTGGTGATGATGATGATGATGATGATGGTGATGATGATGGTGATGATGGTGGTGATGGTGGTGATGATGGTGGTGATGATGATGATGATGATGGTGGTGATGGTGATGATGATAGTGATGATGGTGGTGGTGGTGATGCTAACGAAGAAGACGATGATGACGAAGAAAAAATAAAAGGCGGTGACTTACGGATAACAACTTGAAATCCCAGGATGAAGGCGATGAGGACGATGATGAGGATGTCGATGATGGAGATGATGATGATTATGACGTCACTTTCATTTTTGCTACACAGAATGACGAAAGTTTTTCATCATGAATATAATTTTGCAAATAATAGATGAAGAATTGTCCTGTGTTTGAACTCGGTCACGGCAATACTGATGACAGCTTCTCTAACCATTCGACTATCCAAAAAAGTTATTTATTATAGTCTGGTTATTGTGGCTGTTGATAATGTTGCGACTGTTGCTCAATACAAAAATGCGGAATGCGGAATGCATATTTTTTATTCCACACGCCATACAGCAATTTATCAGAAAAAGCATGAATGAACGAACGAACGAACGAACGAACGAACGAACGAACGAACGAACGAGTGAGTGAGTGAGTGAGTGAGTGAGTGAGTGAGTGAGTGAGTGAGTGAGTGAGTGAGTGAGTGAGTGAGTGAGTGAGTGAGTGAGTGAGTGAGTGAGTGAGTGAGTGAGTGAGTGAGTGAGTGAGTGAGTGAGTGAGTGAGTGAGTGAGTGAGTGAGTGAGTGAGTGAGTGAGTGAGTGAGTGAGTGAGTGAGTGAGTGAGTGAAATAACTAGATAAAAAATAAACGTTTAAACGAATGAAATGAAAAATGGTCAAATGAATTGAGTGACCAGGCGAATGAATGAATGAACAAAACCGTGGAAATTGAAAAAATAAATAAATGAATGAAACCTCGAGTTTCAATTAATGATTAAATTCTAAGAATCGTTATAAAAAAAACACCAGTTGATCTGCCTGATAACAAAACAGCATAATGTATGTGTGTATGTATGTGTTTGTGTGTGTATGTGTGTGCATGTATGTGTTTGTGTATGTATGTGTGTGTATGTGTGTGTGTACTTACAAGCTTACATAAATTTTCAATTGGCAACTGAGCGTGAATAAGTGTCCAGAATAGAAAAATATGCTTCATTCATTCTTACGTTCGTTCTATCACTCATTTCCTTCATTTTAAATAAATGAAATTTTCATTTATTCTCTCTTCCATTCATTCATTCATTCATTCATTCATTCATTCATTCATTCATTCATTCATTCATTCATTCATTCATTCATTCATTCATTCATTCGTTCGTTCATTCATTCATTCATTCGTTCGTTCGTTCGTTCGTTTGTTCGTTTGTTCGTTCGTTTGTTCGTTCATTCTCCATTCATTCATTCATTCGTTTGTTCGTTCGTTCAATCGTTCAATCGTTCGTTCGTTTGTTCAATCGTTCGTTCGTTCATTCATCCATTCATTCATTCATTCATTCATCTATTTATCCGTTTGCTCAACTTTTCTTACTTTAAAAATAAGTTAACGAAAGAAATTTTTGTACTAATGAAGTCAAAATAATTCGTTCGCACTGAGCGCTGTGGGAAGCAGTACTTTTGATAATGTTATTTGCATGCTTTGGTGATCAATTTTTTCATTTATAGGTTTGGTTGTTCGTTCGTTCTTTCGTTCATTCGTTCGTTCGTTTGTTCTTTTGTTCGTTTGTTTTTGATTTCAATTTATATTTAAATCTCAAATCATTTTTCAAATTCTTTGCAGGTCCAGAAAGCACTTATTTGAGATTATTTTATTTTTATAGATATTTAACTTAAATTTTGTGTGAAAATAATAAAACTATTTGAAATAGTAATTTATAATTACCATGCTTATTTTTTTCGTTTTTTTTTCAAAAGACTTTTCCACAGAATTAATTTTTCATCAAGTTAAAAAAAAATCGAAGTCATCAGAAACCTTTCTCTCTAAAACCTTTGAAGCTTCTTTCTCGTTAAATATTAATAATTTCATAAAATAATTAAAAAAAAACAAATAAAAACAAAAAAGAAGTGAAATTTTTTTTTTAAATTAATCAGAAACAGACAAAATTAAATTAAACAAAAAAATATCAAAACAAAACGAAAAAATGCAAACTAAACATAGATACAAAAAACATAGATACAAAAATTTTTTCCCAAGAGTCAGTAATTAGGATGCAAAGAATGCTTCAGCAATTTTAAAATTTTGTTTGATCGTTGGTAATAGTTGAACTATTAAAAAAAACATTTCAACAGTAAGTTTTTGTTTACACATCTGCCCTTTTGTTTTTCAACATGTCTGCCATTTTGTTTTTCAACATGTCTGCCATTTTATTTTCCGACATGTCTGCTATTTTGTTTTTTTTACGTGGCCGTCATTTTTTTTTGCCTGGGGATTTAATTTTCAAGAAAACAATTCTAAAAAAGAGTTTTTTTTAATTTTTCATCGATTTTTGACCAAACATAGTCCCATTTTAGACAATTTTTATTATAAATATAAAAAGTTTATACAACTCTGTACTAGGTTTTTGTTAAGTGAAATTACTTGCTTGATTATTAAGCAAGGACAAAATTCTGAAAAATTCAGTGTAAGGTCTTGGAGTAGATTATTTTACATTTTTGTAAGCAAATTTTGAAGGTAGCAAAATCCGATGATGACGATTGATGATGACGACGACGCTGATGATGACGTATGATCTAATTAGTACCTCTGTGAATTTTGAAGATGATCAGACGACTGCATCTACCACATGCGGCAGGTCCATACGCATGGACAGTGCTAGCTATGACCACGGGGCGAATATGAGAGGACATCAGTCAGGAGCAGAGGAAAAAGTATTGGAAAAGAACAGCAGAGCCTTCTTTGTACCATGTCGTGCTTATTCATTAAATTTGGTCGTTAATGATGCTGCGAAATCCTCCAGAGGTGCTATGGTTTGTTTTGGAATGGTGCAAGCCATTTATAACTTTCTTTGTGGATCATCTCGAACGATATTGCTAATATTTAAAAAGATTTTTCAAAGGAAAGTCTCAGAGAAGAATGTTTAAGATTTCAAATAATGTTAAGCACAGACACTTCTACAGATATTAATGACATGGAATTATTATATGAATTGCTTGCATTGTCTGAATTAATTGAACTAAAAACGTCACCATCAAAAGTACTAGAATTTATTTTAAGAAACAATAATTTCACTCCAAATGTTTCTATTGCTGGCTTTAACACAGCCAATATCAGTTGCATTTGGAGAGCGTAGTTTTTCAAAACTGAAATTAAAGATTACTTAAGGTTTATTATGTCACAAAATAGTTTGACAGGTCTTTCTTTAACTTTCATAGTAAGTGATCTTGCTAAAAAATTAGATTTTACTGAATTATTGAAGGCTTTTGCATCTGAAAAGAGTGGGAAAGTAAGCTTCTTTCACTAAAGCATGTTGAAATATGCCCATTTTGTATGTATTCGGCTTGCCTTTTGTGTTTGTACTGTTTGGATTGAATGTCTTGCAAATATTACAATCTTATACGTCACTCTTAGTTTTACTTTAGGGTATTTTTTAAAAAATTGGTGCTTTTTAGTTGTGGCGGCAAATTTGGATCTTGCCTCGAGCGGCAAAATACATTGAGTCGGCACTGATGATGATGATGATTATGGAGATGCTGATGACGCTGCTGATTATTACGCTGATGACGATGGTGATGGTGAGGATTAAGATGACCATGACGTCATTAGAACAATCTAAAAACGTTTCCTGATAATAATTTTGAAGTCTGAAAGGAGAGGGCAAGGTGAGCGAGTGAACGAATGGACGGACGGACGGACGAATAAATAAATAAATGAATAAATGAATGAATGGATGAATGGATGGATGGATGGATGGATGGATGGATGGATGAATGGATGGATGGATGGATGGATGGATGGATGGATGGATGGATGGATGGATGACTAAAGGAATGAACGATAATGGTGACACATGACGACATCATTTAGTGTTTATGAGCAATAAACGGTTGAATTTAATTTTGAGAGAGAGAGTGAGTGAACGAGCGAAGAATTTTTGAAAGAAAGTAAGTTTTTGACGTCACTGTAAATAAATCATTGTAAGAAATAGATAAAACTCATCCACAATATTTTAATTAAATGTGTAAATTTAAAATCTTATACTAGTCAATTAAAAAATGAAAAAACTAATTGAAAGAAATACTTCTCCTATAAATTATAATGAAAATTTATAATCTGTAAAATCGTTAAAACAAAAAAATTTTTGAGAAAAAAATCATAAAGATTTGTAACATTTCAGTCGAACTCTCGAAGGTACCAAAAGTTTATTGAATGATCGAAAGGTCGAATGCCTCGGTGAATGAATGTCCGTGTGAATGAATGAATGAATGAACGAACAAACGAATGAACGAACGAGCGAATGAATGAAGGGTTGATTAAACAAAAGAATGAATTGACAAGCAAATGCAAGCGTGAATAAATGGTTGAATAAACAATACAAAAATGCAACAATCAGATAAGCAGAGAAATGAAAGCTTGTCTGGATAAATGAATGAATGAATGAATGAATGAACGAACGAACGAACGAACGAACAAACGAATAAATGAAGGAATAAAAGATAGGCGATCAACAAAATTCCATGGTTGAATGAGCACAAAGACGTGTCAAAAAATAATTAAAAATTTATAAACAAAAAGTCAAATGAATAAAAATGATTGAACAAATGAGCGAGCGAACGAACGAAATAATGAATGAATGAAAGAGCAAATGAACGGATGAATGAACA